TACCATCTCATGAACTTATTGATTTCTTTTTAATTGATTGATGTCTAGTTTTCAGGGAGTCCATTACTTGGGTAAAGTTTGCCACTTTCTCTTCTAAGCTGTTTATTCCCATTCTAGTTCTCTCCTCCAGAGCTTTTATTCCATTTTGTTGCTTCATTTCTTCTAGCTATTTCTTATGACAAATCTATTTTTTCCTTTGATTTTCTGATTGGACTTTTTATGTAATTACTATCTCCTTATTTGGGGGGGAAGGTGGATGGATCTCTAGATCTGCAGTGAATTTTTTTTTTTAAATCTTGATCAGTGTTTTCTTTAGTTTGCTCATCTCTCTAGTTTGGAGTGGAGCTTTATGCCAGGTCTGCTGTCTGCTGCTTTTTTGGTAGGTGCTCCTTGGTCTTGCAGCTTGTGCTCCTTCACTGGCATCATTTCCCAGGCCTAGGTTCCCCCCTGGAACTCAAACTCAGATTGTGAATACTTGGTCTTCATGGCCTTCTACAGTATCTCAGGACAGAATTCTAGAGACCCCAGAGACCTGGGATAATCGAATCTATGCCACACTTGCACTGGTTGCTTAGATCAGCAGAGGTTGTTCCTTTTCCTTAGACCTTTTAGGTTCTCCACTGTGAATTTATAACCACTTGGGGCCTTCTACTCTTACTATTTCTGTTCATAGAACCTTATAGTCTACAGGTGTCATCTTTCTTCTACCAGACCATCTGCCGTAGAAGTATGAGAAATAGTCTCGTAAGTAGAGATGTCTATGAGGTTTGGTGAACTACAGCGCACTTGGCCCAGAAAAGAGAAAATGAGGGACATATTTGTCTCCCTCTCAATTTCCTAAACCTCTCATTTCTGAGACAGGTAAAAAAACATGTTGTGTTGTCCTAGAACTTGCCTCATCTAAATGGAAGGGTGACAGCCCTTCTTTCCTGTCCTTTAACTTCTGTCCTCTACACTATTCTTTCTCTTCTTCTCCTTTCCCCTTTCCATCTACCCTGTCTTCCTATTCCAAGTCTGTGCTGCTGTATCTATTTTCATTTCTCTCTTCTTTAGTAACTACATGAGATTTGTTGTTACCACTGGCTGTGAACATTGAGTGCCAGATTTATGATTAATTATAAGTTCCATTTACGTTTATCATTTTAAAATGGAGTCTTTATGGGTGCAGATATAATTCTACAGGTACATCAATGATCATTCCTTACTAGGAAAAATTGAAGGATCCCTATCTTGGGTAATTATCACTTGAATATTGATGAAATTTTTTTATTCTGGGCCTTGATACAAAAAATTCAGAAAAAGATCATTCTTGTTAGTTTATAACTTTTTTCTTTTTTTTTTCTTTTCCTATTTTTAGTTTAGCATATCTTCTTGTGAGAAGTGCTGATTGCTTTTGCAATAAAACATCTCTCAGGTTTTTATAACTTGTAGGTTGAAACTTGAATGGTTACAGTATAATTATTTCTATCAATTACTGAAGGAATTTTGTCTCTACTTGTTGGGTAAATGTATTTCTTTTTGGTGTGTCCATTAGGCTTATTTGAGATCTATGTCTTCTATCGAGCTTTAAGCTTCTCCATGGTCAGGAATTCTGTCTTATTCTTATATCCCTCTAAGTACCTAGCACTGTCAAAGTCTTTCTTGAAAATAGGCATTCAGTAACTATTTGAATGTATGAACTATAGCTTGGATTTAAGGCCACAGAAACAAACTCTTCGGTTTCTGCAGATCTTCAATTGACCATCATTTGTGGTTATTGACTGTGATAAGCACTTTATTCTTCCAGTGATAATTAAAGGGGAGCTATGAGTGCCTTCATAAATACCTAAAGGCTTCTGAACAGCTAGTTTAGTCATAGTGTATTGATCTTAGTTTTTTCTTTCATTGTAATAGTTAGACGAATCAATATCATCCTTGTATTTTCAAACATACCATCATTAAAACATGATGATGAAGGCACATAGAAATATCCTATTCCATTAGTATTAAAAATGCGTATGCTTTTCTTTTTCTTCCATCAGAAAGGCTTAGAAAAGCTAAGGAATGAAGGAGAAAGTAATACATCTTAATGTTACATGCACTTCGTAATCATGGGAAACATTATAGCCAGCATGTTTAATTTTTTAAAACATAGCTGTTTGAAGTTCATTATCATGGCTTGATTCCTAATAAATGTTTATAGTTCAAAGCAAAACAAAACATGACTCCACTTTTGTGTTGATCTCATGTATTCAGCTAATGTCGAGTACAATATTAAAACACCATTAGAAAGTGATTCTATGAGGAGGCTACAGAGATCCAAGAGGTATGATCCGTGACTTCAAGAAGCTTAGAATTAGGGGCAGTGAAGTGGCTCAGTGGATGCCTTCAGCCTTGGAGTCAGGAGGACCTGAGTTCAAATCTGGCCTCAGACACTTGACATTTACTAGCTGTGTGACCTTGGGCAAGTCACTTAACCCCAATTGCTTAAAAAAAAACCAAATAAAAAAACAGAAGGAGGGTATCAGAAAGGATAGGTGACACATGCTGTATGGGGGCAATGGCTAGGATTGCTCCCAAAGAACTGAGGTTTGCTTACTTAAACTTGCTTCCAGTTGCCCTTTCTAATAGAGAGACTGGGATCTTCTGGGGCAGCTCTTTCCCAGATCAAGCTATGCCCATACTTAAAGGAAGTGAGAGATGATAAAGGTTTGTTAGAGGTTTTGTTTCCTTTAGCCCACAAGCTCTTTAAGTTTGACTAAGGAGGAAATATTTTGTCATTGGGGTAGAAGGTGACTCCTGAGATCTGGATAAACAATCCCCTAAAATCACAAGGTCATTGCTCTGTAATCCCACAGAGCCAGGGTTCCTATAATAGGACATTTGGTCTGGGACCCTAATGCCCAGGATGTGTACAATGGATGGGAAGAATGGAGAGATTGGAGATGAGGAAGCTAGTTTTTACCATGATGTGTGTGAAAGACTGTAATGGGGTCCAGAACTAGGGTAGTATCCATGGATTTGGAAAGGAAGAGATAAATTCTACAGACTTTGCTGAAGTCACATTGACAGAACTCTGGAATTGAGTGGATGTTGGGTGATTGGGGGAGAAACTGAGGATACTCAGGGTTTATGAAGCAAGGGGATTCCAGGAGTATAGATGACTCTGGATTCTCAAAGAGGCTATTTGTCTCACTAGGTCTTGGTATCCCTGGTTTTTTGCAACATATTTTCAGTGTTTATCTCTGTTCTGATTTTCTGGATCTTCCTTCATCTGGATCAGTGAAATTCCAAACAGATCATTATTAGAGTTATTTTGGGCTTTTCATCTATCTAAAGAAAGGTACAGTGATAATTTGATTAATAAAGTCTTTGGAAATGAAGCTCAATTTATGACAAAGTTGGCTGTTAACTAAATTAAGTTGGCTGTTAATTAAACTTTATAAACAATTCAAATGTATGGGATGGTGACAGAATATATGGAATCTTGGAGGAGGGGAAAACCTTTATGGTAAGTTTTGCTGATAAGTATCTCAAAGTAGTAAGAATAAGAGCTATTCCTTAACTGCCAAATGTTCAGGGGATATGAATGGACAGTTTTGAAAGGTAGAAATCCAAGCTATCAACAGCCATATGTGAAAAATTCCAAATCACTTGGCATTTAAGAAATGTAAATTAAACCAATTCTGAGGTTCTACCTCACACCCATCAGATTGGTAAAGTTGATAAAGAAGGAAAATGGCAAATACTGGAGGAGCTACAGGAAAGGAGGCACATAAATGCATTCTCAGTGGAGCTATGAATTAAACAGCCATTTGAGAAAGCAATTTGTGACTATGCCTCAAAAATTACCATATTGGACATATATTGGATTAACCCAAGGATAACACTACTGGGTCCATGTCCAAAAGAAATGAAAGAAAGCTGGAAACCCAGGTTTGCTACTAAGTGTCTGGAAGGTAGGGGCATACTTTTATTCATCTTTGTATCTCTGGCACTTAGCCTACGGTCTTTACCTATTACGTACCTACTAAGTATTGACTGAATGGAAACAGAATAAAATAGTAATCTATATTAAAAAAAAAAAGAACAAGAAAGCAGGAAAGGACCCATATGTACATATGGTAACTAAAGAAGGTGCCCATCCATTGGAGAATAACTGAACAAATTATGGTATATAAATGTAATGGAATACTTTTGTACTGTAAAAAAAATTGTGTAAAGGACAATGTCAGAGAAACCCTGGGAAGACTTATATGAATCAATGCAGTGAAATGAGCAGAACCAGGGAGATAATTTATACAGTAACAACACTGTAAAAACAAATAACTTTAAAAACTTAAGAATTCTGATCCAGTGGAACTACCAATCATAATTCCAGAGAACTGATAACAAAGCATGCTTCCCACTTCCTGACAGAGAGAGGGTACAGAATTACTGAGGGTATAGAATGAGACATATTTTTTGCACATATTCAGTGTTGGAAATTATTTTGCTTGACTGTGTATTTGTTAAAAAGGGTTTTGCTTTTTTTTTCTTTTTCAACATTGAGGGTAGGTAGAAGGAAGAGAAAATTCATTTTTGTTAATTGAAATAAGTTAATTTAGAAGCATGGAAGCATCAAGTAGAGAAAAGACTCCTGAATTTGGAAATCTAGATCTGTGAGTTCTGTTCTTCATTCCAACATTAATCACTTTTTTGACCCTGAGCAGGTATTGTATATTCTGTGGGCTTCAGTTTTACAATGTGTAAAATTAGGGGATATCTGAAGTTCCTTTGAACTCTAAAATTAAAAAAATTTTTAATATCATTATGGCAGAGCCAGGAATAAAACCTTTTGCTTCTGTGTACACTTAGAAATATGTACTTAATATACTGGGAAAAAAAATCTGTGAAATGAAAAGGGATATTCAGTGCCTAATTGTTAATTAGAATAAATTTGAACTGAAGTCAGGTTTGTGAAATGCATTATTCTTATTAAATTGTCTTGTGCTAATGGATATTTTCTATCTTGTTTCTAGAAATTGAAAGATATAGTAAAAGATATTTGAAAAGTTACAAAGAAGATGATTTGGAATGGGTACCAGGTAAATATAAGATTTGTAGCTAAAAGTTATTTTAAGGTCTCCTTTTATGTAACAGATTTTCTATTTATTGAGAAATACAGAAAATAACATTAGCATCTCTATATTATTTTTGGGCCTTAGAGGTAAGAGCATTCTTCCCACACTCAAAATTGTAAGCCTTCTCTTTTATAATCTGAGTTAGTAATATGTTGTTAGGGCTTCAGTAGTTCAATTCAAGAAATATTTACTATGTTCCTAATATGTTGCTAAACACTAGAGATGGGCCTTGTTCCCTGCCTTGTCATGACCTCATAAGTGAATATTCTAAGTCTAAGAGCTGGCATGAAAAGAGACTCTTTCACATTTAAAAATACGGAAGAACTGGAAAACAGGGACAAGCTGTAACAACTAGTTTAAAGTTGTCAGCAAAAGATGTTTCTTTTTGTAGAGACTACCAGTCTCAAAAGCATTGTGTTTCCATGTTAATACCACTTGCCTATTTCACATACACTTTTAACACTATTGTAAAATCAGTGATGGTTTGCCCCTCCTTTTGAGAGAGTTTATACTCTGAAAACTCTAGTTTTAAGATGTGTTGTTATTTTTCCTACACTAGTCTCAACAGTTTATCTTTCTTTCCTTTAGCATACCTAATTTATTTTTACTTGTTTGGGTACCTTTTCTAAGAGAATCTACTTCAGTTGCTTTGTAATCAGAAGAGCCACAAGTTTTACCTTTGATATAGAATTAGAGCTGAATGAAACTTTTAAAGATCATCTAACCCAAAGGTTCTTAAACTTTTTTTGTGTATCATGGACCCCCTTAGGAGTCTGGTGAAGCAGATGGACCCTTTCTCAGAGTAATGTTTTTAAATGTCTAAAAATAAAACACATAAGATTAGAAGAGAAATATCATTTTTCAAATCTTTAAAAAAGATTGGTTCTTTTTCCCCACAGACCCCAGGTTAGGAGCCCCTCATCTAATTCATCTCTCACATTTTACAAACAGATGAGCAAATTGAGACCACAGTGGCTAATTGAATTAGTGGAAATACCAGGGGCAGGACCCATGTCTCTTTTCTCTCAAGCTAGGGCTGTTTTCTATGTACTGCCCATCTCATGTTTTAATCAATATTTTCAATGTTTTCATGCACTTGATCTTTCAAAAGGGGCTTAAGAGAGCTTTACCTCTTTCATGTATTATAGTGTGCACATAGTCAGTCAGTACTTATTGTTGATGAGGACATAAGTTCCCATGGAAACAGTCCCAAATGTCTCTTATTTTTTTTCTGCTTCATCCCTCACTAGTCGTAAACCATTACCTCTTCATACTTTAGCTTGATTTTCTGTGAAACATTTTTTCTGTTAAATGTAAATATGTTCAATGTAGAAACCATTAGCTGAGGAATGCCATGTGAACTTGAAATTTAAATATTTTCTGCCACAAATTTAATGAGCTTTCTTTGTGGGTTGGCAATGTTTTTGGATGTGTTGTTGTAACGATGCTTCATTTTCATGCTTGGTACCATATGTACACAGTTAAAGGAACATGGAAAATAGCAGTAGTTGTAAAGGTGACTGAAAGCAGAAGCTGCCTTTTGGACTGAAATAGTTTGCTTTTCTCTCAACTATCTGAAATTTTGCTAGGATAATGTAGAGAACTGTCAGTTCCTTATTGTCCTTCAGCAGCAATGTGGTTATCCTGAGACTTAATGTTTTGAATTGATTTATAGTATAGTCTACAGTTATCTGAACAAAGCCCTTGACCCTCTTGCATCTCTGCCAGAGAAAGTTTTGGTCTGGATTATACATTGAACCCAGAGACTAGGTCTCCCCAATCAGAGTCACTGGTAACCTACCTATATCTGTCTCTCTTTCTCCCCACCCCAGATTGGAGAAGACTTCCAAGGGAGATGATGCCAAGGAAAAAACTAACAAAAGGTAGGATACTATAAAAAGGTAGTTCAGTCTACAGTAGCCTTTCAGGTATAGGAAGATTGTTAAATTACTACTTGACATGGGCTTCATCTAAATTTTATACTTTTGCTTCAAAACTTCATTGTTCAATTTTTTTTTCAGGTTGGGGTATAGAATCTAGACCTGTGATTTCATTGGTGTTCTGGGAACACTTGGTAGGGGCAATTCCTATCAATGCATTTCTTCAACCTGTAATCTGAAAGAGATGCTTGAGCCATTAAGAGATTAAATGACCTATACAAGGTCACACAGCCAGCTTGTGTAAGAAGGAAGACTTGAAGCCAGGTCTTCCTGATTCATAGATCAGCTTTCGATTCATTACCCCACACTTACCTGTCTTGTGCAGATGGTAATTTATGAAACTTAGTGGCCTAAGGCTTCTTTAAGTTTCTGTGATTTCTTGATGTGCTAGCAATGGCTTTTCAATTTTGCATGAGTCGGAAGTATTTCATTAAGATATTTATTTAAGTTTAGGAAACAATTAGAGCTTTAATATTATGCATAACAGTATCTGATATTTAGGTAGTGCTTCAAAATTTATAAAGCATTTTACATAAGTGACCTTGTTTGATCCTTGAAGAAATTTGCTGAAGTGGTTGACGCAGGTTTTAGTAGCCCTATTATGTAGATAAGGAAACAAGGTTTAGAAAGCTGAGGAGACTTGCCCAGGACCACACAGCCAGGAATAGCTGGAGGAGTTGCATTTGTACAGAGTCTTTTCTGATTCCAGGGCCAGTGTTCTTGCTGTTCCATCATGTTGCCACATTTAAAAAAGCCAGGACAGTTTGCTAGGTCCTGTATTTACAATGCGTCTCTTTTTAGCAGGCAGCTAGGTGGCACAGCACTGTCCTGGAGTTTGGAAGATCAGACTTCAAATCTGTCCTCAGACACTTACTGGCTATGTGACCCTGGGCAAGTCACTGAACCCTGTTTGCTTCAGTTTCCTCATCTGTAAAAAAAAAAAACTGAGCTGGAGAAGAAAATGGCAAACCACCATTATCTTTGCCAAGAAAACCCCAAATAGGGTCGTGAAGAGTTGGGTATGAACTGAAAAACAACTCTTTTTTAGTAATAGTAGGCTTCTAGAGATTAAAAAGGACTTTTTATTTGGGGGCGTGGGGAGAGCCTATAACGTTTTTGTGTACATCATCAAGTTCTCAAAATCTCTTACATAATAATATAGCTGCTAGAATAGCTTTACCTGGCCTTCTCAAGGCCTTTTCTGTTGTTTACTTACGATTTGAAAGTATGGATTATTGTAAGGCATTCTTTTAGCTTAGATAATTGATAAGGAAGAATGATTAGGAAATTATTTAATTAGAATACAGTTTTCCCTTTTGTTTTTTAGTCTTAAGTGATGCTCAGTTATTGTCCTTTTCAATAAAATAATAAACTGTATTGGGATTTACATACTTACTGCTTTTTCTCCCCGGTATAAGATATTGTTGAATATATTTTATAAACATGATATCAATTACTTTATCAATATACAACCTTTTAAAAAGGCAATGCATATTGCTATTATCTGTGGAAAATTTCTTGAAGAAAAAACTGTCTTAAAAAAGTATTGTACTATTTTGTTTCATAGGATTCATCTATCACGCTATTTAAAATGGTCAGGGTTTTTTATTTTAAATATGAAAATTTCAAAGAACCATTAATTTCCAGAATTGGAAGAGTCATCTAATTCAACTCATAATTAAGCATGAATCCTCTCTCTCTAAAAAAAATTTTATTCATGTCTTTTTGTTTCACATCAGAGTTATTTTCAGCCATTATCCTCCCCCCACCCTACCCCTCTCACAATGAACTGTCACAAAAAAAGACGCCTAGGTTTGGGAAGTGTTGCATACTCATAGCTCTTTACTCCTCCAATTATCTGGTTGGTTTTTTTGTGTGTATTGTTTTTGCTTTTATTTGTCTTCCTGGCACTTGGTACATTATCTGACATATAGTAAGCATTTCATAAATGACTGACGGACTGTTTTCCAAGACCAAGATTAGTCATTATGATTACTCAGAGCTTGGCTTCCTTTTCATGTTCTTTTCATTTCTGTTGCTGTTTTCATTATATATGCTTATACATTAGTTTATGCAAGTATTCCCATATTTTTTTTCTGAATTATTCCTAGTTGTTGCTTCTTCTGGCTCAATAATATTCTCTTTTATTCTTTTTTTTATTTTATGAGGCAATGGGGCAAAGTGACTTGCCCAGGGTCACACAGCTAGTAAGTGTCAAATGTCTGAGGTCGGATTTGAACTCAGGTCCTCCTGGCTCCAGGGCCGGTGCTCTATCTACTGTGCCATCTAGCTGCCCCCTCTTTTATTCTTATACTACAATTTGTTCAGCTATTTACTAATTGAGGGGCACAAACCACAGAGAATAAGTGCTGAATTAAATAAGAAGACAGTGCTGGAAAATGCAACACAAAAGAGGTTAATGGAAGACAAGTTTTTTCCCTTTATAAAATTTTATTTCTTTATTTTTAGCATTTTGAAAGACATTTTGAGCTGCAAATTCTCTACCTCTCGCCCGCCCCTCCTGTAGAGTCACTGAGAAGGCAAGCAGTATGATCAATTACACATGTGAAATCATGCAAAACATATTTCTATATTAGCCATATCCCAAAAAAAGCAAGAAAAATAAAGTGAGAAAATTATACTTTAGTTTGCAGTCAAGAGTTCATCAGTTCCCAATAAAGATAGAATGAGATGAATGGATAATAAAACCTAACAGTTTATTGCATATGAGAAATACACTAAAGATATAGAGTGAAATTGTGGGGCTGGAATTTGGAATTATGCCCCCTCTGACTAAAACATTTAGACCCTTTGTCACAGAGGTCCCATGGCTAGGCATCTTAATCAAAATGAGGTCAAAAACAGAAAGGACCCATATACACCAGAAAACTCATAGCAGCATTTTGTGTAGTAGCAAAGAATGTGAAACAAAGAAGATGCCCATTGGCTGAGAAATAGCTAAACAGACTGATGAAGAATAATGCCATATTACTCTGCTATAAAAAATGAATATAAAGAATTCAGAGCAGCATATGAAGGCTTATTTGAACTAATGCAAAAGGAACTAAGCAGAACCAGGAAAACCCTGTATGCAGTGACTATGACAATGTGAGTGGAAAAATCAGCCAATCGATAATAATTTTTTTTAGGTACCTACCATGTGCCAAGCATGTAAGGTGTAGGGGAAGAGGGAGATACAAAGACAAAAACAAAATAGTCCCTGCCTTCAAAGAGCATACATTCTATTGGGAGAGATACAATGAACATAAATAGGAATGTAGAAAATAAATGCAATATTTTGTGTGTGTGTCTGTGGGGGTGTGTACAGGCAGCTTATGGAGAATCTTGAGAGGCTTCATATAGGGGTTGCTTCAGCAGAGTGATGAAGAAAATGAGGAATTCCCAAATGGTAAGGTGAGGTGAGAGTACATAGGCAGATGGAGATGAACAGTATCAAACTGAATGTTGTGTGTGTAGTTATAATGACTGAGCTTGACATTGACGAAAAGTTAAAAAACATACCTCATGTTCTCTTTGTGGAGGTGGGAAACTTTGTGTGAGGAATGCTGCATGTATTGCCAGATATGTGATGTGTTTGGTTTTGCTGGACCTCTCTTTTTTCACTTTCTTTTTTATTCTTTGTTACATTTCAGTGGATAGAGGAGGGAAGAGAGTATTCAGAAATGAAGGAAATATTACACCTAGATTATACCAATTTACAATTTTTAATATTCCACAAAAAAAAGAGAAAGGCAAATTAACCTGTTGGTTAATTAACTTGTATCCTCTTGTACTGCACTGGATATGCTAAGACACTTCTGAGCTTCTCCTTCTTTCATAGATTTCTTTTTTCTTTCTTTTTTTAAAAAATTTATTTATTTTTAGTTTTCAACATTCACTTCCACAAGATTTTGAGTTTCACATTTTCTCCCCATCCCTCCTCTCCCCTTATCCCAAGATGGCATGTATTCTTATTACCCCATTCCCCAATCTGCCTTCTCTTCTATCACTCCCCCTTCCCCTTCTCTTATCTCCTTCCCCTTTTATTTTCCTGTAGGGTAAGATAGATTTCTATACCCCATTGTCTGTGTTTCTTATTTCCAAGTTGCATGTAAAAACAAAAACAAATTTTTTAGGGCAGTTGAGGTTAAGTGACTTGCCTAGGGTCACACAGCTAGTAAGTGTCAAGTGTTTGGTCTGAGGTCGTATTTGAACTCAGGTCCTCCTGACTTCAGGGCCAGTGCTCGCTCTACTGCGCCACCTAGCTGCCCCCTAAAAACAATTTTTTAGCATTCGTTTTTAAAACTTTAAGTTTCAAATTCTCTCTCCTCCTCTCCCTACCCACCCTCATTGAGAAAGCAAGCAATTCAATATAGATTATACATGTATAGTCATGCAAAACACTTCCATTATAATCATGTTGTGAAAGACTAACTATATTTCCCTCCATCCTATCCTGCCTTCCATTTATTCTGTTCTTTCCTTTGACCCTGTCCCTCCTCAAAAGTGTTTGTCCCTCCCTCAATCTGTCCTCCCTTCATCAACCCCCCCATCCCCTTCCCTACTACCTTCCTGTAGGATAAGATAGATTTCCATACCCAATTGAGTGTGTATGTTATTCCCTCCTTAAGCAAAATCCAATGAGAGTAAGGGTTCATTCATTCCCTCTCACCTCCTGCCTCTTCCCCTCCACTGTGAAAGATTTTTCTTGCCTCTTTTGTGTGATATAATTTACTCCTTTCTCCTTCTTCCAGGACATTCCTCTCTCAACCCTTAATTTGATTTTTTAGATGTCATCCTTTCATATTCAACTCACCCTGTGCCCTCTATCTATACATGTTCCCTCCAACTATCCTAATATTGACAAAGGTCTCATGAGTTACAAATAACATCTTTCCATGTAGGAATGTAAATAGTTCAACTTTAATAAGTCCCTTATGATT